ACTGCCACGACCTGCGGGGGGGGGGGGGGGGGGGGGGGGAAGCACAAGGCCACTAAGCTTCTCAACGAACAGGTTTATACTAGAACTTGTATTCAGGAAGTTTTGGGTTCGATTCTCGTCCATGACTTCCTCTATCAGTCCTTCCAGGATAACATCGGCCGCAGTATGTCAATTAGCCAACAACCGCGTCCTTCCAAATCCTTGCCAATCGGGACTACTGGGTTTTTGGACTTTGTCCATTGTCCGGTATTCTAAAGAACACGACGTGTCGGAAACTGGGGGGAGAACACCTCAGTCAGTTGACCTAGACAGACACACAGCCACGCTACGAAGACGTATGGGAGAGTGGAGGTATATCTCCACCATTCTTGACATCGGAACTAGATGTAGGTGAGCTATGATCAGCTTCACGCTCCGGACGCTTTAACCCCGGGGAAAGAGCCCACGGTACCTGTTGGTTAGGAGGCTGAGTGGACCCCAGAGCCGGTCTGGACGCTGCAGATTACAGAAGAATCGATCCCCGATTCTCCAGTCGTTCAGGACATGACCAAGTTGGTGTGCCCATAAAATCTCTGAGGTCAGTACAAAATAATAGGACGGAGTTCGAGTCAGTGAAGTCCCCGAAGTTCCGCATGAAAGCGGCAAGTGAATGAGATTCCAGGTGCATACTGAAACACAGAAGCAGTTTCACTGTGTACTAAAGCGACCACAGAACCTGGCCTACAGGATGCGCACAAAAATTATGACAAGAAGAAGCAGGGCAGTGGTTGTAGGTGCAATGAGGCAGAGATGGCGAGGTACTGCAGTTGTGGGAAGTGAGAACCTGGTAGTTGAGGCCAGAGACAGTTCCTGAACCCAGAGGAAGGTGAACGTCCGCCGTTGGAAGCCGCTACCAAGCAACGGCTAGTGAAGACTGTATGTATTCTGTAGTTACAGAGGTCTTTGGAGTGTGTAATTAAGTGACACTGTCTTAGTTACTTGCAGTTACGTTCCGTGACTGTTCAATAAATCCAATTACGAGTCCAAGCCCCGTCTCTAGTCACAACGAATCAGGTGAAGTCCGTTATCGCCTGATGCCTGAGACACGGAGCAGTCCATCCTCGCGTCTGGCTGTTGACATGCTCCACATCAGAACCATCTGGCGTGCGATGTTTGTTTTGCGTGTTGCATTATCGATGGTCGGCGTCACAAGTTAGGGAGAGAGCCTTGAGGCCAACAAATGACCGGAAGGGCGTAAATGCAAATCCGCCATCAGTCAACAGCTTTCTGTGAAATGGTGGACAAATGGAGGGAAATAAGTCATCCCAAGGCGAGCGAGGTAAATTACCATCTTTATGCTACTAGAGGTGGCAACACTTCTCGTACTTTCTGGAACAGAATCACTTCGAGCAGTGAGAAACATGTAGCCACGTGAGAGAAGACTTGAAATCGAGGAGACGTGTACTTTCTGTAGTGTAAAATTGGGGAAACCCCGTCATGCCGTTGCTACGAAAGGGGTATCACAATAGGATTAAGGCCGGAAGGAGATATGTGACATAGAGGAATGGTAGAACAGGGGCAAGGGAACTGTTTTAACGTGAAGGAGAGAGAGGAAGGAGGAAAGGAATATTGACGTGTTCATTTATTTCGTTAAGACTAATTGAAGCTTGAATAAAGGAACTTAATGTGATAGTGGCAGAAAAACTATATTTATTAAGGGGAATGGACGATACAAAATCATTGGACTTGAAGGTTGTCAGGCAGCGTCCATTTGTCTTGGTACATGGGAAACACCGCGGGACATATTAATCTGACAGCCCGGGACGTCAGTTTTGAACATAGAAATTTTTTTCCAGGATCTGAGCAGTGCTCACTAGCCCGAGTGTTCATGAACGGATCTCATAATTCGCATTACTCGTATATAGTAAGTTTTGTGAGCTGTTGTACATAAGGACCGTGGTATTTCGATTTTCTTAGTTAATGTCGACGTATAACTTCGAAAAATAGACTTTAGTGGCTTTGACAGCAAGGAAATGTAATTTTTGATGAACTTAAGTCGGGAGGGGGGGGCTGTGGGAGAAGCTTGCAGTAGCAACTTGCAATTTGAGAACCATCTCAGCGTGCCGAATTGACTTGTTGCAAAACTTTCCGGATACGCACCGACTTTTAGCCAGACAATCTTCTGGTAGTTCAAGTAAATAATATTTTTTAGATCCAGTTCCTACCTCACAGAGAAGACTGCGTATTAACTACAAACTTTGTTGTTTTGGAAGCTAATAATTACGTGAGATTCTCACATGAAGTCATTACGAAGTTTGCTGCCGTTTGAGATGTGACGCCGTGCAGTCTGGTACATGTTTTACCTGATTTTCGAAGAACGTAGGCCTCAATCTTCAGGGTACCCACTCACTGTCCTTAAAAGGGCCACTCCTCCTTTATTTCCGGTTTCCCTCTAACCTCAACCAGTTCACTCAGAGCTACGGACTCTCCCATCTCCACGGAGAGCCAGGCATTCTTTACACTGGCCTCGTCTTTCCCATTGGTTCGCTAAGGGCCACGGCTTCCATGTCCGTAGCACTCTTCACATTTGCTTTACTTTTACCCTGAAGACAGAGGCAAAAGTTTCTCCGAAGCGTCGGTAACAATCTACTAGACAGCACGGGGTCACATCCCAGAGACAATACAATTTATCTGTTTAACTTGCCGTTATGTTGAGATCACTGGGTCCGGCCCGCTCCGGTGGGTTCCGGAACTCGACGGAGCTTCCGGAACTCCGCCTGGGCTTATTGATGTCGAGACGGAGGATGCCTGTCGTGTTCTCTCGTCGGTCCGGGCTCTTCCGGGCGCTCTGTTGCTCACTTGCCCTATTACATGTCGCCGCATCTTCACTGCCCTCCATCCTGTCTGTGGTTATAGGGCGAGACAAGAATTAGTTACCAGCAGACGGAGTTGGGAATGAGCTCGCGCTGCACCTTTCTACCGTCGGCTATTTAACGACGTCTCGAGCATCAAAAATACATAAGGAGTCTCATGAATCAGTCGGAGTAGCGAGAAGGAAAGCCATGGTCATGGGTCCGTCCTGGAACCAAAATGACTGTGCTGGCGAGAGCCAGCAGCAATTTGTTCGAAACCTGACACCATATAATGTCAGATGGTAGAATGGCAGATGATTTCGAGAGGATTTTAAAGGAAGTGGTTGTGGCCTAATCGAGATACCAACGCAGAATTTACCTGGAGACTGAGGAAAACCACGATAAACGTATGTCTGGATACCCGATATTCGAACCTCCATAATACAAATCTACAGCGTTACCTCTAGATCTACCTCTTCCGTTCAATCGGTGATGCTTTTGACTTGTATTCGGGAGGTGTTCAGTTCGAGCCTCGGACAGGAGACATTGAGGTTTTGGTACCTATGTATATTTGTTGCATTTTTGACGACGCTGTAGCTGCGTCACATCACACAGCGCAGAATGAGTGGACGATAGTGAATGGAAAGGGTGTGGAAGAAAACGGATGTTGCCTAGTTGAAGCTACTATCCCGACATTTACCCGGAGGGACTGAAGCAAACTAACAAAAACCTCAGAATAGTCGGTGGTCCGGCATAAAAACGAATCGAGCACTTCCAGAAGCGTTACCGCTTGCTCAGTTAGATTACTGTGGTCTTCCTCAGTTCCTCCGTTATGTAGACTAAGTTTCTGACAGCGTCATTAAATAAACAACAAATGGGTTACATTTTATTAAAAAGTCGAAATTACGAAGAGATTTGTCTTCTGGGATATAACGCCATGTAACGCTTTGAAACTGACGTTTCGGAGGAGCATGTCGCCTCCATCTTCATCTGAAGATGGAGGAAACGTCTTCCTCCGAAATTTAATTTGACTTTCAACGGACTACATGGTGTTACATCCAAAAGAAGCTACAACTCTTCTTAACCACCGGTGTGAGAACCGTAAACCCTACAGATAAAAACAAACTCAATTAACTCGAAAAAACGCAGTTGAGAAGCTAAGGGTTAGTCTGCGTTTTCAGCAGATAAGACAATAGGCTAGCAGACGGATAGGAAAGGATTTGGATGGAGGTGATGGTGGCACTATCCCAGGAGTTACCTGGAATGTCTAAGGAAGACCACGATAAAGCCTCAACACAGCCAGGTGTCCCGACCGATACTGTAAGCAGATACCTCCAGAATGAGTGTTACCGCCACGATAACCTGCTTGGTGCCGCAGCCCAGCCGCGCGCTGTTCAGTAGTCACTGTGTACTAGCAGCAACTGGCTCTGCTGTTAGTCACTTCGCTTCTGAATATCATGACACCGTTGGCACCGCGCCCAACCCCCTCCCCGACCCCTGACCTCCCATACTTAACACACACATTAACATTAGAGGCTATGTGGAGTGCGGGGGGTGGGGAGACGCATGAACCCATATTAGTTACCATAGCAACTGTTTATATTTATGAAGAGTTGAATTGCAAAATCAACGATACTGGGTTTCTCAAAAGCAAGGCTGGCCGTACAGGGTGACCAACAACTCGTGGCCACTGTACGTGTGTCGAGGCGGACAGTACCGCTCGTCCAGTTACACTCACCCTCCCAGCTACAGTCTGTAGTTCAGATTATTTTGGTTTCATTGTTAGCTCAAAACTGTGATGAATATGACCATTGCTGAGCAACGGTTCGGTAAACACATCTCCGAGGTGACGCAGTTAACAGTGGGACTTCCGTTGCTCAGTATCTGGTTGTTACGTTTCGTAGCAACGGACAAAACACAAATAATAACAGAGTGACAACTAACTGTTCGAGGTGGTGGTCTCTATTCGGTTCTCCCGAAGTTACAGAGACAGGACACGTGACAACGCTCAGCAGAATCCATTCGTAAGGGATTCATCGTTCGGCGGTCGTCACGGTAGAAGAGAAGACACTCGTAGTCCAGTTAGGAATGGAGCGAGTGGTAAGCAACTATTGATCATGGGCTTTTATAATTGGCTGTAATTGTAAAGAAGTGGCAATAAATCCAATAATCGAATGCAGAACCCGTTATTATTAGTCACGCAAACCCCTCAAACACGTGACAATACGTTAAAATTACTTCAGTCTTTCCCAAAATATCCGTCCCTACGTACATTTCGGGTCGCCATGGCATCGAATTGGCAAGCGTTAACACACTACATGGACGTAAGTTATGTACATCACTAAAGAGCGACCAGTTTATTTACAGTGTATCGTGTCTATTCCGTGCGTATTAATATACTGATATTGGTATGTGAAGCGCAGAACGTTATATGAAGGGGATACTTTACGATATTACGGATATTAGCAAGTCATAAAGAAAGAGACCATTAGGAAAAGCAACACGTTGGTTGGTGGATAATATTAAAATGGATCCTAGAGAAATAGGATGTAAAGGTAAAAGTAAAGCTGTTCCTGTAACAGGCCGTGGAGGGCCATAGGGTTGTGAGATGTTGAGGTTCCTACATTTTCTAGACAATCGGCACACAGATGGCGGTGAGGTTGTCAGCCTTACGCGCCGGCCACCCTTTACCCCCCAGGAAGGATCCTGGTACTCATTTCTGTTAGAGGCTGAGTCGATCCCAGGGCCATAGTGCGGCCGGAAGGATTAGGTAAATTGGAAAACAAATCCAATGACCTCATCGGGACTTGAACCCGCGACCTTCTGGTTTGTAGCATAGCCCCTCAACCAACTACGCTATCGCGTTGTAGTGGCATGAGCTGGATTGATCTGACTCAGAATGGGGACCCGTGGAGGGCTCTTGTGAACACGGTCATCAAGCTTTGGGTTCCATGGAGTGAGTTAGTTACTGCGTCATTTATAATTTCTTCTGCGAAACGCAGAAGAAATTATACATTTTTGTATGATATTTACGTCACTGTCTGGGAGTCAGGCCAGCTGAGTCGGTATAGCGACGGGCTCGAAGGCCGGGGTTCGATTCCCGGCTGGGGAAAGAATTTTCCCCAATCCTTCATACAGCTTACCTTTACCTTATGACATTCTCCTATCGGTGAAGAATACCATTTTCCGGGATGTGACGCCGTGTAGACCCTTTAAGTTCACTGACGATTCGGAAGAGTATATTACCTCCTTCTTCAAGGTCGAAGAAAAAGTCTGCTTCTTCCTTCACTTACTCTTCGGCCCCTGAAGATGGAAGCAGCACATTCCTCCGAAACGTCGGTGAATTCTACAGCGGTTCACGTTGTCACGTCACAAAGGGGCGCGCTTTTCATTATCTAGCTCGTTACTTTCCCTGGAACTGACTTCCCCCTCAGCAACTTTAAATTAGTTGAGCAAGACAAGAGGCGGCAGCAGCCACAGGTTGCAACGTGACCACGCCTTTCGCAGTGCTGATAAAGCGTCAGAACTCATTACTTCCTGGCAAATCCTCGAATGAGTAAATACAGCCCACCTACAACACGAACCCTAATTAGGAAAAATTTCCATTAATTTACATAGCTCGGAGCCACCCACAACACACGACACACACTTCCAATGAAAGGCGCCACGTTGCTAGGCAACGGAGGACAGTGACGTCGACACTGTTGTAAAACGAAAGCATGACTTCAGTGCAGAGCAGTTCCGTGAGAAAAATATATTGTGGAATATTTTCTCAAAGCAAGAACTGTGGAGCCAGAGAAACAGCCATTGCTAGGCAACGGCTGTGTAACACACAACATTGGAGTTAACTGTTGGAAGCGGTGTTTTCTGCGCGGTCCGTGGCGAGACTATATATCAAGGAACAGCTGCCATTACGAGATAGTCCTGAGGCGGCAGTTAGAAGAGTAGGAGGTGGTGTGAGATGGCCGTCAGCCTGCGAGGACGTGAGCCCTGGAGCAGAGGAACGTTCGCCGTTAGAAGTCGTTACCTGGCAACGTGTCTGAGGACACTAGGCTGTGTGTGATACTGATCTGTGAAGTGTAGTCATGAGTTGTGTCTAATTGTCCAATAAATCCGATTACCAATCCAAACCCCTTCTATAGTCACACTCAATCATGTGACAGTATGTTGCGTACTTCTGTCCAAGTGCCTCGTACTGCACGTAAACATCAACGGGCAGAGCGACTCATCTGGAGAGGTGCGGTACGAACAGTTAGAAATCGCGTAATCATTTGCAGATGAAAACTGAACTTGGCAACACTGCAATCCTTTCTGTCGTGTTAGCTGCAAACATGGAACACCCTGTCGGCCTGTGTCTCCACGCTGAGAGGAACCCATTTCAGCATCTTCTACAACCAAATCATCTCTACATCTATCGAGGTGTCTCTTCACAAAGTTGCACTTTCAACAGTAAATCACCGCGTGATCTATCATCACTAATTTGGGGCCTCCTCCGAGCGAATCACCCTGTATAATAAATGGTACGTATGTATTTTTGTGCATGTTAATGACCTATTCACATCTGTACAGAGAATTCTGAGTTGCCGTACAGTTTTGTCTGTATCTAAATTCCACAGCGCCATATAGTGTGACTGATGAATTGTAAATTATTTCTGATTGGTCGCTACCTAATCGATGTACCATCTCAGTAGTTGCCTGGGTAAAACAAAAGATAACCTCAGTACGGCCAGGCTATGTCCAGGTCGAGATTCGAACCAAGCACCACCGCAACCCCGTCACTGAACAGCATTACTCAGTTGATCTTCATAATTGAGCGCAGTGTGTTCCCTGACAGGTACGAACTGAAAATAATTGAACTCATTGCCCCTACGCAATTTCATTCCCCTTCCTCACTTCCCAACGCTTTACCCGCTCTGTAAAACGTATCTGATCAGGAGTAGCGGGTACTGACTCGGAAAAAATTTAAAGCCGGAAAGTCTTCTATCCTCCCCTCCACTTAAAACGTAATATTTCATTATGCCCCCTCCCCTTTCTGTCATGCTTCAGGCAATTAAGTATTGAAAGTGGAAGGCTGGGCCCTACAACCACATCCATTTAATACACTGCAGTATTTATGGCACAAAAAGGGACCCAGTCATCATGAGAGTCCCTCGCCCCTCCCAGGGCTTCAACAAGTGTCACTCAGCAGGGAGGGGAACGGCTCTGTAATCATTCCTGAATGTCAAAACACATATCACATTTACAGCGCATTCGGCAAATGGCCTTTAGAACGTCCATTAGCAGCAGTTACTTCCCTTGCTCATAAAGGGAACGGCCATTGCGTCACATACCAAAACAGTCCTGCTTCACGGCAGATACGATGCGAAGGGGGCGCAGAAGGAAAGCTCCACGCGTTTTCGATGTGGGTACACCCTCTTAAGGCTCATTTCTGTCTCGTTCGTGACGCGTCTTAATGAACCACTGACCCGTCGTGTAGCTGTGTGGAAACAGCTCCATTTAAATCAACTGTTCGCTAGTGTAAAAGGTGCTCCAGCCCCCGTAACACCTGCTTCTCATTTCCCACGGAAAACGAGGCCACGACGATAGAGTTGGGGCTGTATAAATGCCATCATCAAGATATAAAATATTTCATCTAAGTTTATGGCCGACTTCTTTCTTTGTCTACAAAATACTTAATGAGTATTAGGCTAAGGGCTACACAACCGAAGAATCTGGGTTCCATTCCCGGACTGGGCAACTCTCCAGCGTCAAACCCTGTCCATCCACTCTCTAAGCCACCGAGTGCTGAGGAGTAAAGCGACCGGGGTGTGAAGCTGGTTTTCGTGTATCTAGTGCTGAGGTTAAGAGTGCGTGCAGCCATGCCTCTACTCCCCTATACACCTTCATGTCGTGATGCTTAATTAAACACAGCGACATTACATTAGTTGAAAAGTTTCTTAAAAAAAAACTGAAGGCAAGACACTACCTGGAAGATCTAGATGTAGATGGGAGGGTGGTGAAAAGAATATTAATGAGGTAGGGTGTGTGGATGTGGATTGGATTGGATTCAACTGACTCAGGATACGGGATCCTATGGGCATGGTAGTGAATCTTCCGGTTCCATAGAAAATTGAAAACGTCTCGCAGGAACATGTCGCCTCCATCTTCAGGGTTGAAAAATAAGGCAAGCATGAAACTTACATGAAGCAGTAGCAAGAGGAGACTCCGAAATGTCGTTTGATTTTTAAGGGCTTGCGCGGCATTATATCCCAGAAGACGGAAGTCCTCATGTCATGACCCAGCACTTGTGTGAACACACTGAGGGTCTGCATTAACAGAAACACACGGGGCAGTAAACAGGTGAAGCTGTCCCTCTGGTCATTTGGGCACAACGGCATGAATACATAAGTAAA